GTTCATATTTGGGCGTATAGAGTGCTTGTGCCAAGTTTGGTCCAGATCCATCATTGTTTGAGTCCACAGTGCTCTCTGGATGTAGGTGAACTACAACTCCCAAACTCAAGGTCAATGCCCACCAAACTCTCACAGTATTTTCTGTTGGTCATAGGAGTCCTGTGTGCCACGTTTGGTCCAATTCCATCATCAATGGAGTTCAGAATGCTCTTTGATCATAGGTGAACTATAAATCCCAGCAACTACAACTCCCAAATGACAAAATCAATGTTTTGAGTGAAGGACATACATTGGGTTGTTAGGTCCCTTGTGTCCAAATTTGGTGTCAATTCACCCAGTAGTTTTTGAGTTATGTTAATCCCACAAATGAACATTACATTTTTATTTATATAGATGGTCCTTCCAACCCTGTTATATGCCAATGAAACGTGGACTGTCTACAGATGTCACACTCAACTCCTGGAACGATTCCATCAGTGTTGCCTCTGAAAAATCCTGCAAATCTCTTGGGAAGACAGGCGGACAAATGTCAGCGTGCTGTAAGAAGCAAAGACCACCGGCATTGAAGCGATGCTCCTCCGCCATCAACTCCGCCATCAGCTGGACCGGACACGTTGTCCAAATGCCGGCTCACCGTCTACAATACTCCCAACTCAAGAACGGGAAATGTAACGTTGGTGAACAGGAAAAGAGACTTAAAGATGGGCTTAAAGCTAGCCTTAAAAACTGTGGCAGAGATACAGAGAATTGGGAAGCCTTGGCCCTTGAGTGCCCTAACTGGAGGTCAGCTGTGACCAGCAGTGCTGCGGAATTTGAAAAGGCACGAATGGAGGGCGAAAGAGAGAAACGTGCCAAGAGGAAGGCGTGTACCAAACATACCAAGTTTGTATGAAAATGTGACTCTATTTCCTGTGCTGGTCAATGACCGAAATAAATGATTTGATTTGATCTAGCTGGAGGTCAGCTGTGACCAGCAGTGCTGCGGAATTTGAAAAGGCACAAATGGAGGGTGAAAAAGGGAGAGGAGGGGGGAGGAACACGTTATACATATTGTGCTGTGACGTCAGAAGCGATAATAAAACAACAACAACAACAATAACAAGCAGAGCCAGTGTCAGTTGCCACGCCTCCACCGCCGCCGCCAAGCTATTTGAATGGGACCCTTTAAACCAAAGGAGGAAGCGCGGCGGTGTGCGCATGCGCGAACAGGAGGGACAGAAAGAAGGGGGTTCCTGACTCGTGGGTTGAGTCAGTGCGCCTGCGCAGAAGGGGAGCTCTTCTAAAGTCCAAGTAGTAGAGTTGCGGCGCTTTGGCTCTCTCTACTAAACACCGGCTCCCGAGCGACGCCGCGGAGTGACAACAAAGGCGTGCTCGCCTTCCTTCTGCAGCACGAGGCAGGAGAAGACAATCAAAGCAACCCCGACAGAGGGTCATCCAGATTCAACATCCTCCTAGGGGAGGGGAGGGGATCTCTTTCCAAGAATAAGAAACCTCTTGCCTTGGAAAAGGAAAGGGAATGGGGAATTCTGCACATGCCCCGAGGCATAGAATAATATAATAATAACAACTGTATTTCATAATATCATATAATATAATAATTGCATTTTATAATATAATATAAATAATATTATATTATAATATAGGAATAATTGTATTTTATAATATAATATAAATAATATTAAAATATAATAATAATTGTATTTATAATATAAGAATAATTGTATTTTATAATATAATATAAATTATATCATAGCAATTTCATTTTATAATATAATATAAATAATATTATATTATAATATAAGAATAATTGTATTTTATAATATAATATAAATAATATTAAAATATAATAATAATTGTATTTATAATATAAGAATAATTATATTTTATAATATAATATAAATAATATCATATTATAATATAGGAATAATTATATTTTATAATATAATATAAATTATATCATAACAATTGCATTTTATAATATAATATAAATATTATTATATTATAATATAAGAATACTTGTGTTTTATAATATAATATAAATACTATTATAACAAGATAAGAATAATTGCATTTTATCATATAAATATATAATTGTATTTTATAATATATAAATATTATATTATAATATAATAATTGTATTTTATCATATAATATCAACAATAATATAATATAGTAATTGTATTTTATCGTATAAATATATCATAATCGCATTTTATAATATAATATGAGCATTATGTTTTTATAATTCAGTATCAACAATATTATAATAGTTGTATTATAATATAATATAAATACTATTATATTATAATAATTGTATTTTATAATTTAATATAAATATAATAATTGATTTTTATAATATATCAACAATATTATATTATATAAATACTATTATATTGTAATAGTATTTATATAATATAATATTGTTAATATAGTATTTATATTGTTATATAAATATTGTTATATAAATACTATTATTTATTTATTTACTTACTTACTTTATTTGTATACCGCAGTTTCTCAGCCCGTAGGCGACTCAACGTGGTTAACAACAAGAGCAAAAATTCAGTGCTAACAACATACACTATTTAAAAACAATTAACACCGTAGTATACTAAGTAATAAGTATATAAATATTATTATATTATAATTGTATTTTATAACTTAATATAAATTTTAGAATTGTTTTTATACTATAATATAAATAATTAGTATTATATTAAAATATAGTATATTATTTTAATATAATAACAATTGTATTTTCAGTGGTGGGTGGGTGTGCTATTATATAAATACTATTATATTATAATTGTATTTTATAAATTAATATAAATATTGGAATTAGAATTATGTTTTATAAAACAATATGAACAATATTATAAGTTATAATATAAATACTATTATAAAAATTGTATTTTACAATTTAATATAAATATAATAATTGATTTTATAATATATCAACAATATTATATTATATAAATACTATTATATTATAATAGCATTTATATAATATTGTTAATATAGTCTTTATATTTATAACATAAATAATACATATATTATATAATATAATATTGTTAATATAGTATTTATATTGTTATATAAATATTATATTATATTATATAAATACTATTATAATTGTATTTTATAATTTAATATAAATATTAGAATTGTTTTTTATAATATAATATAAATAATTATTATATTAAAATATATTATATTTTGATATAATAACCATTGCATTTTCAATGGTGGGTGGGTGTGCTCGTCAACCCAATTTATATAAATATTAGAATTGTTTTTTAATAATATAATATAACATAAATAATAATTATTATATTAAAATATAATATATTTTATATTTTAATATAATAACAATTGTATTTTCAATGTTGGTTGGGTGCGTGTGCCCCTCAACCCAATTTTATAATTATAATTTAATATAAATATTAGAATTGTTTTTTATAATATAATATAAATAAAATATAATACTATTTTATAATATAATATATTAAAATATAATATAATAATATAAATAATAATAATTATATTAAAATATAATATATTTTAATATAATTTTAATATAATATATTTTCTTATAATAATCATTGTATTTTCAATGGTGGGTGGGTGTGCTCCTCAACCCAATTTTATAATTTTATAATTATAATTTAATATAAATATTAGAATTGTTTTTATAATATAATATAAATAATAATTATATTAAAATATAATACTATTTTATAATAATTTTATAATATAATATATTATAATATAATATAATAATATAAATAATAATTATTATATTAAAATATAATACTATTTTATAATATAATATATTATAATATAATAATATAATATAAATAATAATTATTATATTAAAATATAATACTATTTTATAATAATTTTATAATATAATATATTATAATATAATAATATAATATAAATAATAATTATTATATTAAAATATAATATATTTTAATATAATATATTTTTTTATAATAACCATTGTATTTTCAATGGTGGGTGGGTGGGTGTGCTTTTCAACCCAAAGGGAAGCCCCCTCCCTCCCTCCCTCCCTCCTGTTGCAGCCACGAGAAAGGCTTCCTTTGGGTCTTTCTTAGGGTCCCATTTTAAAATAATATATTTTCTTATAATAACCATTGTATTTTCAATGGTGGGTGGGTGAGTGTGCTCCTCGACCCAAAGGGAAGCCCCCTCCCTCCCTCCTGTTGCAGCCACGACAAAGCCTTCCTTGGGGTCTTTCTTAGGGTCCCACCTTCTTCATTGGGGAGCCCTTGATTGAGGGGTGAGGACCCCATTCCTGGCCGTGGCCTCCCCCCCAAAGGGAGCATCCCCATCCTTGAGGGTCTTTCTTCGGACAACAAAGGAAGGCCAGCCTGGGCGCGAGAGAGGAGGGGGCGTGCCCAGCGCAGGCTCCACGCCCCTCCCACTTGGGGACCCTCCAGCCAATTGAGCCTGGAGAGTGACGCTGCGGCTGCCGTGACACCCCTCCTCTGGTAGATTTTTTTTCATTTTATTTCCCCCCCCCCCTTCCTTCCTTCTCTCTCTCTCTGTCTGTCTGTGTCTGGCTGCAGCGAAGGCTCAGACGGAAAAGAGGAGGAGGAGGAGGAGAAAGAAAGGAAGGAGGAAAGGAAGAAGAAAGGAAGAGGGAGAGGAGGAAGAAGAGAAGGAGGGAGGGAGGGAGGGAGGGGCTGCTGGAAAGAAGAAGAACTCCAGGGAAGAAGAGGAGGAGGAGAAAGAGGGGAAGAAGAAAGAAGGAAAAGACGGACATACAACCCGACAAATACGCGACATCTCATTTTAACGGATTGACCAAATCGATTGGGATGATTCTTCCCTCCCCACCTTGAGAAAATGGTCTTTTTTCCTCCTCCTCCTCCTCCTCCTCCTCCTTTTGTTTGATTCGGCGTCGCTGGCGTGGCTCCTTCTCTTTGTGTCTGATTTGTGGAGGTGGGAAGCAGAAGAGGAGGAGGATCCCACCCATCCCTCCTTCCTTCAGGTCCCGGCCTTTCTCCCGTCTTGCTTCCTTGAATTCATTAACCAGCCAACCCACCCTCCTTCCCTCCTTCCCGGCGGCGATGCCCAGCTCCTTGTTCGCGGAGATGGAGCGGGGCGGGGGGGAGGCCGCCTTGGACGACCAGAGGGCCCTCCAGATCGCCCTGGACCAGCTCTCCTTGCTGGGTTTGGATGGAGGGGGAGGGGGAGGAGGGGGGGGCTGCAACAACAACGAGCCCGGAGCCCTCTTCGACCACGAGCCCCGCAAGAAGAGCGTCAACATGACCGAGTGCGTCCCCGTGCCCAGCTCCGAGCACGTCGCCGAGATTGTCGGCAGGCAAGGTGGGCAAGGAAGGCAAGGAGGAGAGAGAGAAGAAGCAAGAGCACAAGGGATGGGGTGATGGAGACAAAGGAAGGGAGGCAGGGAGGGGACCAAGGGAGAGAGAGAGAGGGAGAAGGGAGGAAAGGAGGGGCGGGATCCTCCTCCCTTCCCTGCCTTTCCCTTCCCTCCCTCCCTCCCTCCATCATTTTCATTTTGGGGGGATAGTATGCATCTTAAGGTATTGGATATTTATTTACCTCTATTGGAAGGCAAGGTATCAATAGAATGAGTAAGTAAATCTTTCCCATTCCTCCTCCATCATTTTTTGGGAATTGTATGCATCTTAAGGTATTGGATATTTACCTCTATTGGAAGGCAAGGTATCAATAGAATAAGTAAGTAAATCTTTCCCATTCCTCTTCCATCATTTTTTGGGAATTGTATGCATCTTAAGGTATTGGATATTTACCTCTATTGGAAGGCAGGGTGTCAATAGAGTAAGTAAGTAAATCTTTCCCATTCCTCCTCCATCATTTTTTGGGAATTGTATGCATCTTAAGGTATTGGATATTTACCTCTATTGGAAGGCAAGGTATCAATAGAGTAAGTAAGTAAATCTTTCCCATTCCTCCTCCATCATTTTTTGGGAATTGTATGCATCTTAAGGCATTGGATATTTACCTCTATGCAAGCCTCCTTGAGTAGAGAAAGGTGGGGTATCAATACAGTAAGTAAATAAGTAAATCTTTCCCATCCTTCCTCCATCGTTTTTATTTTGGGGGGATTGTATGCATCTTAAGGCATTGGATATTTACCTCTATTCAAGGGCAGGTCTTTTCCTTCCTTCCTCCATCATTTTTTAATTGTATGTGTCTTAAGGCATTGAATATTTACCTCTATTCAAAGGCAGGGTGTCAGTCGAGTAAGTAAGTAAGTAAGTATATCTTTCCCATCCTTCCTCCATCATTTTCATTTTTTGGGAATTGTATGCATCTTAAGGCATTGGATATTTACCTCTATTCAAAGGCAAGGTATCAATAGAGTAAGTAAGTAAATCTTTCCCCTCCTTCCTCCATCATTTGTAATTTTTGGGAATTGTATGCATCTTAAGGTATTGGATATTTACCTCTATTGGAAGGCAGGGTGTCAATAGAGTAAGTAAGTAAATAAATAAATCTTTAAGGCGTTGAATATTTACCTCTGTTGGAAGGCAAGGTATCAATACAGTCAGTAAGTAAATCTTTCCCATCCTCCCTCCATCATTTTTATTTTTTAGGAATTGTATGTGTCTTTACCTCTATTGAGAGGCGGGGTATCAATAGAGTAAGTAAGTAAATCTTTCCCATCCTTCCTCCATCATTTGTAATTTTTGGGAATTGTATGCATCTTAAGGTATTGGATATTTACCTCTATTGAAAGGCAGGGTGTCAATACAATAAGTAAGTAAATAAATCTTTCCCATCCTTCCTCCATCATTTTCATTTTTTGGGAATTGTATGTGTCTTGGCATTGAATATTTACCTCTATTCAAAGGCAGGGTGTCAATAGAGAAAGTAAGTAAATAAATAAATCTTTCCCTTCCTTCTTCCATCATTTTTATTTTTTTGGGAATTGTATGCATCTTAAGGCATTGGATATTTACCTCTATTCAAGGGCAGGTCTTTTCCTTCCTTCATCATTTTTTTAAATTGTATGCATCTTAAGGTATTGGATATTTACCTCTATTCAAAGGCAGGGTATCAATAGAATAAGTAAGTATAAATAAATCTTTCCCATCCTTCCTCCATCATTTTTATTTTTTGGGAATTATAAGCATCTTAAGGCATTGGATATTTACCTCTATTCAAAGGCAGGTCTTTTCCTTCCTTCCTCCATCATTTTTTTAATTGTATGTGTCTTAAGGCATTGAATATTTACTTCTATTGAAAGGCAGGGTGTCAATAGAGTAAGTAAGTAAGTAAATCTTTCCCATCCTTCTTCCATCATTTTCATTTTTTGGGAATTGTATGCATCTTAAGGCATTGGATATTTACCTCTATTCAAAGGCAGGTCTTTTCCTTCCTTCCTCCATCATTTTTTTAATTGTATGTGTCTTAAGGCATTGAATATTTACCTCTATTGGAAGGCAGGGTATCAATAGAGTAAGTAAATAAATCTTTCCCAACCTTCCTCCATCATTTTTTTAATTGTATGGGTCTTAAGACATTGACTATTTACCTCTATTGAAAGGGAGGGTGTCAATAGAGAAAGTAAGTAAATAAATCTTTCCCATCCTTCCTCCATCATTTTTTTGGGAATTGTATGTGTCTTAAGGCATTGAATATTTACCTCTATTCAAAGGCAGGGTGTCAATAGAGAAAGTAAGTAAATAAATAAATCTTTCCCATCCTTCCTCCATCATTTTTTTAAAATTGTATGTGTCTTAAGGCATTTAATATTTACCTCTATTGAAAGGCGGGGTGTCAATAGAGTAAGTAAGTATAAATAAATCTTTCCCATCCTTCCTCCATCATTTGTATTTTTTTGGTATTGTATATGTCTTAAGGCATTGACTATTTACCTCTATGCAATCCTCCTTCAGTAGAGAAAGGTGGGGTATCAATACAGTAAGTAAGTAAATAAATATTTCCCTTCCTTCCTCCATCATTTCTATTTTTTGGGAATTATATGCATCTTGAGGCATTGAATATTTACCTCTATTGAAAGGCAGGGTGTCAATAGAATAAGTAAGTAAATAAATAAATCTTTCCCTTCCTTCCTCCATCATTTTTAAAAAATTGTATGTGTCTTAGCACTGAATATTTACCTCTATGTAAGGCAGGGTATCAATAGAGTAAGGAAGTAAATAAATAAGTCACCTCCTTTGTTGGGCTTCAACACTTTATAATATAATCATATTTATCATTTTTTTTAATTGTATGTGTCTTAAGGCATTTAATATTTATACCTCTATGTAAGCCTCCTTAAGTAGAGAAAGGTGGGGTAAGTAAATAAATCTTTCCCATCCTTCCTCCATCATTTTTGGGGGGAAATTGTATGCATCTTAAGGCATTGAATATTTGCCTCTATTGAAAGGCGGGTATCAATAGAGTAAGTAAGTAAATAAGTAAATCTTTCCCATCCTTCCTCCATCATTTTTATTTTTTGGAATTTTATGTGTCTTGATGCATTGAATATTTACTTCTATTGAAAGGCAGGGTGCCAATAAAGTAAGTAAGTAAGTAAATAAATCTTTCCCATCCTTCCTCCCATCATTTTTATTTTTGGGGCAAATTGTATGCATCTTAAGGCATTGAATATTTACCTCTATTGAAAGGCGGGGTATCAATAGAGTAAGTAAATAAACAAATCTTTCTCTTCCTTCCTCCATCATTTTTATTTTTTAGAATTTTATGTGTCTTGATGCATTGAATATTTACCTCTATGTAAGCCTCCTTGAGTAGCGAAAGGCAGGGTATCAATAGAGCAAGTAAGTAAATAAATAAGTCACCTAATTTGTTGGGCTTCAATACCTTATAATATAATCATACCTATCAATTTTTTGGAATTGTATGTGTCTTAAGGCATTGAATAATGGCCTTGATGTAAGCCTCCTTGAGTAGAGAAAGGCAGGGTATCAATACAGTTAAGTAAGTAAATAAATAAGTCACCTCCTTTGTTGGGCTTCAACAACTTATAATATAATTGAATCTATCATTTTTTTAAATTGAATAATTGCCTCTATGTAAGCCTCCTTGAGTAGAGGAAAGCAGGGTATCAATAGAGTAAATAAATAAGACACCTCCTTTGTTGAGCTTTGACACCTTATAATATAATCATTTCTATCAATTTTTGGGGAATTCTTTGTGTTTGAAGGCATTGAATAATTGCCTCAATGTAAGCCTCCTTGAGTAGAGAAAGGCGGAGTATCAATAGAGTAAATAAATAAATGCATCACCTCCTTTGTTGGGCTTCGACACCTTATAATATAATCATATATCATCATCTCCCTCTGCTTTCTATGTATTATCATTATGGTGATTATTCCTCTCTTTTTTCTTAGAGATTTAGGAGGAAGCCACTTTGTAATCTCTATCTATCTCTTGATCAATCTCCTCAATCTCCGTCCCCCATTATTATTATTATTATTATTATTATTATTATTATTATTATTATTCCTCTCTTTTTCTTAGAAGTTGAGGAGAAAGCCACTCCTCTATAATCTCCATCTATCTCTCCATTGATCTCTACAATCTCCATCACCCATTATTATTATTCCTCTCTTTTTCTTAGAGGTTGAGGAGGAAGCCACTCCTCTATAATAACAACAATAATAGTCACACCTCTGTAATCTCTATCTATCTCTCAATCGATTTCCTCAATCTCCATCTCCCATTATTATTATTCCTCTCTTTTTCTTAGAGTTTGAGGAGGAAGACACTCTATAATCTTATCTATCTCTCCATCCATCTCATCTATCTCCATCCCCTATTATTATTATTATTATTATTATTATTATTATTATTATTATTATTCCTCTCTTTTTCTTAGAGTTTGAGGAGGAAGACACTATAATCTTATCTATATCTCATCTATCTCCATCCCCTATTATTATTATTATTATTCCTCTCTTTTTTTCTTAGAGTTTGAGGAGGAAGACACTCTATAATCTTATCTATCTCTCCATCCATCTCATCTATCTCCATCCCCTATTATTATTATTATTATTATTATTATTATTATTAATTATTCCTCTCTTTTTCTTAGAGTTTGAGGAGGAAGACACTATAATCTTATCTATATCTCATCTATCTCCATCCCCTATTATTATTATTATTATTATTATTATTATTATTATTATTATTATTCCTCTCTTTTTTCTTAGAGTTTGAGGAGGAAGACACTCTATAATCGTATCTATCTCTCCATCCATCTCATCTATCTCTATCCCCTATTATTATTATTGTTATTATTAGTAGTATTCCTCTCTTTTCTTAGAGGTTTAGGAGAAAGCCATAGCTCTATAGTCTCCATCTATCTCTCCAACTATCTCCATCGCCATTATTATTATTATTATTATTATTATTATTATTATTATTATTATTATTTCTCTCTTTTTCTTAGAGGTTGAGGAGGAAGCCACTGCTCTATAATAACAATAATAGTCACACCTCTGTAATCTCTATCTATCTCTCAATCGATTTCCTCAATCTCCATCTCCCATTATTATTATTCCTCTCTTTTTCTTAGAGTTTGAGGAGGAAGACACTCTATAATCTTATCTATCTCTCCATCTCATCTATCTCTATCCCCCATTATTATTATTATTATTATTAGTAGTAGTAGTAGTAGTAGTAGTAGTATTTCTCTCTTTTTCTTAGAGGTTTAGGAGGAAGCCACAACTCCATAATCTCCATCTATCTCTCCAACTATCTCCATCCCCATTATTATTATTATATTATTATTATTATTATTATTATTATTATTATTATTATTATTCCTCTCTTTTTCTTAGAGTTTGAGGAGGAAGACACTCTATCTATCTCTCTATCCATCTCATCTATCTCCATCCCCTATGATGATGATGATGGTGATGATGATTATTATTATTACTATTCCTCTCTTTTCTTAGAGGTTTAGGAGAAAGCCACAGCTCTATAATCTCCATCTATCTCTCCAACTATCTCCATCCCCATTATTATTATTATTATTATTATTATTATTATTATTATTATTATTCCTCTCTTTTTCTTAGAGTTTGAGGAGGAAGACACTCTATCTATCTCTCTATCCATCTCATCTATCTCCATCCCCTATTATGATGATGATGATGATTATTATTATTATTATTACTATTCCTCTCTTTTCTTAGAGGTTTAGGAGAAAGCCACAGCTCTATAATCTCCATCTATCTCTCCAACTATCTCCATCCTCATTATTATTATTATTATTATTATTATTATTATTATTATTATTATTTCTCTCTTTTTCTTAGAGGTTTAGGAGGAAGCCACACCTCTATAATCTCCATCTATCTCTCCAACTATCTCCATCCTCATTATTATTATTATTATTATTATTATTATTATTATTATTATTTCTCTCTTTTTCTTAGAGGTTTAGGAGGAAGCCACACCTCTATAATCTCTATCTATCTCTCGATCCATCTCCTCTGTCTCCATCTCTAGTAGAAGGTGTTTCTTTCTGATCTGATTCTGTGTGTGTGTGTGTGGGGGGGGTGTCTCCTTTTCTCCCTTTTCAGCCCCCCCATGATGTCTGCCCAAAGCGAGGTCTCCCAAAAAGAAAAGAGAAGAAAGAAAGCTCAGCCAATAGGAAGGCAGAGTGGCTCAAGGGGGTGGGGCCAAAGGGGTGGCACACCGTGGCATCCTCGGGAAAGGGAAAGGGGTGCATAGCCATGCAGGGAAAAGCCACGTCTGTCGAATCCATAAAAGGGGGATCTATGAATATACAGAGGCCATCTCTCTCTGGGCCCTTCCACACAGCTCCATATCCCAGAATATCAAAGCAGAATATCCCACAATATCTGCTTTGAACTGGGTTATCTGAGACCATACTGCATTTATATCACAGCTCAAAGCAGATATTGTGGGATTTTCAGTCTTATTATTTTGAGATATAGGGCTGTGTGGAAGGGTCCTCGCTCTCTATATTAGTGTTTCTCAACCTTCCTAATTCCATGACCCCTTAATACAGTTCCTCAAGTTGTGGTGACCCCAACCAGAAAATTATGGCTACTACATAACTGTAATTTTGCTACTGTTAGGAATTGTAATATAAATATCCAATATGCAATGACCCCTTAATATAGTTCCTCAGGTTGTGGTGACCCCCAACCAGAAAATTATGGCTACTACATAACTGTAATTTTGCTACTGTTTGGAACTGTAATATCAATATCCAATATGCAAGATGTATTTTCATTCACTGAACCAAATTTGAATACTGGTGGGGTTGGGGAAGAGGCAATTGATTTTGTCATTTGGGAGTTGTCATGGCTGGGATTTATAGTTCACCTACAATCAAAGAGCATTCTGAACGCCACCAATGATGGAATTGAACCAAACTTGGCACACAGAACTCCCATGACCAACAGAAAATACTGGAAGGGTTTGGTGGGCATTGACCTTGAGTTTGGGAGTTGTAGTTCACCTACATCCAGAGAGCACTGTGGACTCAAACAATGATGAATCTGGACCAAACTTGGCATAAATACTCAATATGCCCAAATGTGAACATTGGTGGAGTTTGGGGAAAATAGACCTTGACATTTGGGAGTTGTCGTTGCTGGGATTTATAGTTCACCTGCAATCAAAGAGCATTCTGCCCACCAATGGTAGAATTGGGCCAAACTTCCCACACAGAACCTCCATGACCAACAGAAAACACTGTTTTCTGATGGTCTTTGGTGATTCCTCTGACATCCCCTTGCAACCCCCACCAAGGATGCTGACCCCCCAGGTTGAGAAACACTGCTCTCTCCCTCTCTCTCTCTCTCTCTCTCTCTCTCTCTCTCTCTCTCTCTATATATATATATATATATATATATATATATATATACACACATACACACACACACACACATACATACATTTTCAGCGCAATTCTAGTATCATTTATTAGCATACTTGAATGCTGTGCAAATGCTTGTGTATACTGTATTGTCGAAGGCTTTCATGGCTGGAATCACTAGGTTCTTGTGGGTTTTTTCGGGCTATAGGGCCATGTTCTAGAGGCATTTCTCCTGACGTTTCGCCTGCATCTATGGCAAGCATCCTCAGAGGTAGTGAGGTCTGTTGGAATTAGGACAATGGGTTTATATATCTGTGGAATGGCTGGGGTGGGGCAAAGAGCTCTTCTCTGCTGGAGCTAGGTGTGAATGTTTCGACTGACCACCTTCATTAGCATTTGAAGGCCTGGCTGAGCCTGGAAAAATCTTTTGTTGGGAAGTGTTAAAATGTGCCTGGTTGTTTCCTCTCTGCTGTTTTGCTGTTGTAATTTTAGAGATTTCTTAACACCTCTCAACAAAGATTTTCCCAGGCTCAGCCAGGCCTTCAAATGCTAATGAAGGTGGTCAGTTGAAACATTCACACTTAGCTCCAGCAGAGAAGAGCTCTTTGCCCCACCCCAGCCATTCCACAGATATATAAACCCATTTTCCTACTTCCAACAGACCTCACTACCTCTGAGGATGCTTGCCATAGATGCAGGCGAAACGTCAGGAGAAATGCCTCTAGAACATGGCTCTATAGCCCGAAAAAACCCACAAGAACCTTGTGTATACTGCTGTGCAATGTACATATACACCATGCCTGGGCAAACTGAGTCCCTTCCTCCAGGTGTTTTGGACTTCAACTCCCACCATTCCTAACAGCCTCAGGCCCTTTCAACTTGAGGCTGTTTGGAATGGTTTGAGTTGGGAGTTGAATGGTGGGAGTTGAAGTCTAAAACACCTGGAAAGACCAAGTTGGCCCATAACTGATATACGTACAAGAAAACAGATGTAACCCACTCTCTACCCTCTTCCGCCTCTTCTCTTTTCCAGGTTGTAAGATCAAGGCATTGCGGGCCAAGACCAACACCTACATCAAGACGCCGGTCCGCGGGGAGGAGCCACTCTTCGTAGTCACGGGCCGAAAAGAGGATGTAGCCATGGCCCGCCGGGAGATCATCTCCGCTGCCGAGCACTTCTCCCTCATCCGTGCCTCCCGCCACAAGAGCGCCGCCCTCAATGGGGCCTCTGCCGCGGCCCCCGCCCCGCCCCACCTCCCAGGCCAGACCACCATCCAGGTGCGAGTGCCTTACCGTGTGGTGGGCCTTGTCGTGGGGCCCAAGGGCGCCACCATTAAGCGCATCCAGCAGCAGACGCACACCTACATTGTCACGCCCAGCCGCGACAAGGAGCCCGTCTTCGAGGTGACCGGTATGCCCGAGAACGTGGACCGCGCCCGTGAGGAGATAGAGGCCCACATTGCTCTCCGCACGGGCGCCGGAGGAGTTGGAGGCGCTGGGGGCCTTGTTGAGCTTCCCGACGACAATGACTTCCACGCCAACGGTACTGATGTGGGCTTCGAGATGAGCGGCAGCCTCTGGAGCAAACCCACTCCACCACCACCGCCGCCACCTCCACCGCCGCCACCTAGCATCCCTCCAACGCCCGGCCGCAAGCCCTTTGCCACCCTCCGCCACGACAGCTCCAGCTCCCTAGGCAGCGCCTCCACCGACTCCTTCCACCGCATGGCCGACTTCAGCCCGCCCAGCCCGGCCCTCAGCTTCACTCACCACAATGGCAATGGTTACGGTGCTTACGGTGGAGCAGAAGGGCTGCCTTCGCCCGATGTGCCCCCGCCACCGCCGCCCTTTGATTCCCCGCCTGGCTTTGACTGTGCACCATTGCTTTGGTCCCACTTTGAGCGTGGGGCCCCCTCGTCTCCTGGTGCCGTGGCTCTTCCGGCTACACCCAACGCTAACCTCGCCGTGTTGGTGAGCAATGGAGGGCAGAGGCGTGGCGTTGGGCCTCCTCCAACAAGGGTGTCTCCACCTCTTCATGTGGCTCTTCCGGCCGAGCAGCCGCAGCAACATCCTTTAGCCCGACGTGTGCGGAGCGACCCCGGAGGCCGGCTGATCGCGGCTGCAGTAGCCGCAGCAGCAGCCGCCGCCTCTTCCTCTTCCTATCCACTCTATGCCAATGGGTTAAGTTGCCCCTTGTCCGGTCTTCCCTCCGACTCTTCAGCATCTTCCTCCTCCTCTTCCAGCTCCTCCTCCAGCTCCTCGTGCTCGTCTTCAGGGCTGCGGAGGAAGGGCAGCCGCGAGTGCGCCGTCTGCTTCGAGAGCGAGGTGATTGCGGCTCTGGTGCCCTGCGGCCACAACCTCTTCTGCCTGGAGTGTGCCAACCGAATCTGCGAGAGGAGCCAACCCCAGTGCCCCGTCTGCCACAGCGCCGTCACCCAGGCCATCCGCATCTTCTCCTAAAAAGAGGGCTGCCCCTTCTCCCAGACCCCCCGTGCACACTGAGCATTTAAAGCCGTTTCAAAGCGGGGTTGGAGAAAGTGGTTTCGCTGTGCAGCTCATTCCCTAGGACACTGTTTCTTAAACTGTGGGTCCCGACCCCAAATGGGCTCCCCATAGATCAATGCCGGGATCCCCCCCCAAAAAAATTGACAACAGTCTATGCTTTCTGAATGTCACCTAGTGACTGTTTGAGACATTTGCACAAAGCCGTTGTGCAGTGTTTACAGTGGACTCTGCAGAAGATGCTTCAGCTGTATTTCATGAAAGGAAACTCAGCCTGTTTAGCAAGCCTTGCAAATGCTGGTTTGTTATCAATAGATGTTTGATTTTTTTTTATATACCTATTTTATATACCTGAGATCATATAAAAATTTCTCGGGCCAGAAGGGGTCTCCAGTGGAAAAGTTTCAGAAGCCCTGGCCTAGGAAACCCTGCAACCCATTGGAGGCCTGGATAGTGACTACACAAACCACAGAGCACTGATGCGCATTAAGGGCTTTCTTTCGTGCACGTTTGTGGGAGTTTGTTGTCTCGCCGCCCGCAGTTTGAAGCTAGATCTGAACTGCATTAAATGGTCAGTGCAGATGGGGGGGCTCAGTCACACCCACACACCTATATTCAGGCGCACAACGTATACGCACACCTCTAAGCAACCTCTTCCACTCACATGGATAATCCTGCCTGTGTGTGTATATAGATCAGTGTTTCTCAACCTGGGGGTCGGGACCCCTGAGGGGGTCGCGAGGGGGTGTCAGAGGGGTCGCCAAAGACCATCAGAAAACACAGTATTTTCTGATGGTCATGGGGATTCCATGTGGGATGTTTGAGCCAATTCTATCGTTGGTTGAGTTCAGAATATTCTTTGATTGTAGGTGAACTATAAATCCCAGCAACTACAACTCCCAAATGTCAAGATTTATTTTCCCCAGACCACCAGTGTTCACATTTGGGCATATTGAGTATTCATGCCAAGGTTGGTCCAGATCCACCATGGCATGAGTCCACAGTGCTCTCTGGAGATAGGTGAACTACAACTCCAAAACTCAAGGTCAATGCCCATCAAACACTTCCAGTGTTTTCCATTGGTCATGGGAGCCAAGTTTGGTTCAAATCCAACACTGGTGGAGTTCAGAATGCTCTTTGATTATAAGTGAGCTATAAATCCCAGCAAATACAACTCCCAAATTACAAAATCAATCCTCCCCCAACCCCATTAGCATTCACATTTGGGTGTATTGGGTAATTGTGCCCAGTGAATGAAAATGCACCCTGCATATCTGATATTTACATTATAGAATCATAGAATCAAAGAGTTGGAAGAGACCTCCTGGGCCATCCAGTCCAACCCCATTGCCAAGAAGCAGGAATATTGCATTCAAATCACCCCTGACAGATGGCCATCCCGCCTCTGTTTAAAAGCTTCCAAAGAAGGAGCCTCCACCACACTCCGGGGCAGAGAGTTCCACTGCTGAACGGCTCTCACAGTCAGGAAGTTCTTCCTCATGTTCAGATGGAATCTCCTCTCTTTTAGTTTGAAGCCATTGTTCCGCGTCCTAGTCTCCAGGGAAGCAGAAAACAAGCTTGCTCCCTCCTCCCTGTGGCTTCCTCTCACATATTTATACATGGCTATCATATCCCCTCTCAGCCTTCTCTTCTTCAGGCTAAACATGCCAGTTCCTTAAGCCGCTCCTCATAGGGCTTGTTCTCCAGACCTTTTATCATTTTAGTCGCTCTCTGGACACATTCCAGCTTGTCAATATCTCTCTTGAATTGTGGTGCCCAGAACTGGACACAATATTCCAGATGTGGTCTAACCAAAACAGAATAGAGGGGTAGCATTACTTCCCTAGATCTAGACACTATGCTCCTATTGATGCAGGCCAAAATCCCATTGGCTTTTTTTGCCACCACATCACATTCCTGTCTTTAACTTGTTGTCCACGAGGACTCCAAGATCTTTTTCACGCGTCCTGCTCTCAAGCCAGGCATCATTGTCCCACATTTTGTATCTGCATTTTGTTTTTCCTGCTAAGTGGAGTATCTTGCATTTGTCCCTGTTGAACTTCATTTTGTTAGTTTTGGCCCATCATCTCTCTAATCTGTCAAGATCGCTTTGAATCCTGCTCCTGTCCTCTGGAGTATTGGCTCTCCCTCCCAATTTGTTGTCATCTGCAAACTTGATGATCCTGCCTTCTAGCCCTTCATCCAAGTCATTAATAAAGATGTTGAACAGGACCGGGCCCAGGACGGAACCCTGCCAATGGCACTCCACTCGACACTTCTTTCCAAGACGAAGCGGAAGCATTAGTGAGCACCCTCTGGGTTCGTCCATTTAACCAATTCCAGATCCACCTCACCGTAGTTTTGCCTAGCCCACATTGGACTAGTTTTCTTGCCAGAAGGTCATGGGGGACCTTGTCAAAGGCCTTCCTGAAATCCAGGTACGCTACATCCACGGCATTCCCTGTGGAGTATCTTGCATTTGTCACTGTTGAACTTCATGATTTATAACAGTAGGAAAATGACTGTTATGAAGTAGCAACGAAAACAATATTATGGTTGGGGGTCACCACAACATGAGGGACTGTATTAAGGGGTCACGGGCATTAGGAAGGTTGAGAACCACTGATATAGATAAATATACGCACACGCATACTATCCACGTTGGGCTTTTCAAGCTGCAGTAGTCGCACACCCCAAAAGAAATTGCAAGATCACAAAGTCACAATAGAGAGGACCTGACCTTTTGCAGGATGGTCACCATCTCCTTATATATATATATATTTTGGTATTTTTTTTTATTATTTTGCATTGAGTGTACTGTAGCCTAGGATGGGTTAAAGGGGGATATTTGTAACATCTGGTGCATGCTCTAAATATTAAGGAACAGCATTCTAGAAATAGACTAGTTTTACACTTTCTCTTTAAGCCAAGCTTCCAAAATGCTTCTCTCTCTCTCTCTCTCTCTCTCTCTCTCTCGTCTCTTCCTCTCTTGTCTTTCACACTTTTCTAAAAGTAGGAAAAATGCATATTGGAGTATGATGGCGTGTGAACAGTTAGTATAACGTGCTGGTAGTTGCTTAGATTGCTTACCGAGACATAAATGTACGGATGGATTCCTTTCCTTGAATGTTCGTGAAAAGGCGACATTTTTTTATTTCCTGTGAAGAAGAAGAAAAAAAATTAATGACGATGATCATAATATTAATAATTAATAATAATAGAAACCTTATGATACTGCAGCTATATCAAAGAATTAAAAAAAAAGGAAACTGTAACATATCTCTTCTATATAAATATATATAAATATAAAATGTTTAAGGGTTTTAAAAGAAAAAAAATTGCATTAATACAGATTGAAGTATTTTATTCTTTTTTGACTTGAAAGTTTATATTTCATATTGCAAAAGATGTTTACAAGTATTTTAATTTAAGTTCAGTGAACTTTTTTGTAGCTGGGTTAAATTTTTTTATTTTTTCGTATGACCTTAACGGCAAGGAACACTGTATTATTTTTTAGTATCACACAAATCGTGAAACGGAATTACAAAACCATAAAAATGTGTAATACTTTTGAACAGTATTCTGTTGGGATGGAGATTTTTTATAGGTTCAGGAAAAAAAAATCTTTTAAATCTGCTTCACCCAGCATATTTTCTATTCAGTGATATGAAGCATATTTTATTCTATATTATTACAAAAAAAAATGGAAGCGTTGAAGTATACATCAAAAAAGGAACTGTGGATGCTTTCTAACATTTGTATAAATAGGATTCAGTGGAAATTACAAAAAAAAAAATTCTGTTGCACCACTATAGTTTAGTATTTCTATTTTAATACATTTGTTTACCACTTGTTTATGTATATGTAGGTGATATTACTTGATCTTAAATGTACTTTACTGAGCAAAGTTTTAAAAGAAGTATATTTTATTTTATGATAAAGGGCCTTTAACCTCATGGTCAAAATACTAATATTATATTTGCTGAGACAAGATTTGAAATTGTATCAAGAGTTTTATTTTTCTGACAGTTAAAGTTATACATAATAAAGGAAAAAAAAACCTTAAGTAATGGTGCTACTTCATGTTTTTTAAGTATTTCTATATAAATAAAATATTCCTGAAAAGTATCTGGTGTTTTGATTTGAAGTTTGGTGCTCAATTTTTTTCCCAATCTATCTCGAATGTATCTCTGTGTCTTTGATGTGTCGGAGACCCCGTCTACACTGCCACGGTGGTCCACTAGGGCTGGGCGGTTTCGTTTCGTAATTTCGTAATTCGTTAAAAATTCGTTATTTTTTTGATAACGAAGCGATATTGAACCATTCAGGAGCAACTAAAAAACGAAACGAATTTTTCCAATTCGTTTCGTAATTGTTTCGGAATTGATTCGTTATTGATTCGTAAATGTTTCGTTATTATTTCCGCATGTCTGGTGCAAGTTTTAGGGTTGCTGTTTGTTTTCTCAGTGAAAAAAAATATAATTATCACACCAACAGTCAACAACAGAGGGAGAGGGAAGCTTCAGAAGTTTTTTTAGCGTATTGCGCAATCGCGGCCGCCATTAACGAATCGATTCGTAATTGTTTCGTAATTGTTTTATGATTTCCGAAATTTCGTAAATATCGAACTTTTTTAAAGGAAAATTTCGGAATTCTTTTAAATAACGAAACGCAAAAACCCCCTAAAAACGAATCGAGTTTAGAAACAACTTTTTCCGTGTTTGGACAGCCCTAGTCCTGTTACATCCCGATTAGATTACTGCAACGCACTCTACATGGGGTTGCCTTTGAAGACTGTTTGGAAATCTTCAATTAGTCCAGCGGGAGGCAGCCAGATTGCTCACCGGAGCGTCATACAGGGAGCATACCACCCCCCTGCTATGTCAGCTCCACTGGCTGCCGATCCAATTCCGAGCACAATTCAAAGTGCTGGTTTTGACCTACAAAACCCTATACGGTTCCGGCCCAGTGTATCTGTCCGAACGGATCTCCCTCTACGTCCCACCTTGGAGTCTAAGATCTTCTGGGGAGGCCCTGCTCTCGACCCCGCCTCTATCACAAGTGAGATTGGTGGGGACGAGGAGCAGGGCCTTCTCGGTGGTGGCCCCTCACCTGTGGAATTCACTCCCTGGGGAAATTAGATCAGTGACATCCCTCCTTTCCTTTAGAAAAAATTGAAAACATGGATTTGGGACCAGGCATTCGGACAATCTGGCAGATAAAGAAAGGACTTTGACAATGGACAGGAAATGACTAATGGAATGGAATTATGGAACTCTGAAAGACGAACACTGAGCATGAGATTAGTTTTTATATGATGTGTTATATTCTGATTGTTTTGATTGTTTTAACTGTGATAATTGTTTTAACTATGGTTTTGTACATTATGTGTAATTTGTATAGGCATCGAATTGTGCCTTTTTGTAAGCTGCCCTGAGTCCCCCCTCGGGGGTTGAGAAGGGCGGAGTAGAAGTACTCGAAATAAATAAATAAAATAATCTGGTTTCTGAATCCAGATTTATCTGCTTTGACCTGGGTTACATGATAGTATAGACCAGGGGTCCTCAAACTTTTTAAACAGAGGGCCAGGGCACAGTCCCTCAAACTGTTGGAGGGCCGGATTATAATTTATATTTAAAAAAGGAATAAATTCCTATGCACACTGCACATATCTTATTTGTAGTGCAAAATACACTTTAAAATACAACAATTAAAATGAATAACAATTTTAACAAATATAAACTTATTAGTATTTCAGTTGGAAGTGTGGGACTGCTTTTGGCTGATGAGATATGTTGTTCAATGTATTGTCGAAGGCTTTCATGGCCGGAATCACTGGTTATAGTTTTTTTCGGGCTATATGGCCATGTTCTTGAGG